CCAAAAGAACCTCTACAGAGATTTGATGGGCGAAATCTTTAGGAACTTGACTGTGATAGGTAAGCATGACATCTTTTTGTCACTCATGCTGTTAGAATGTTTGTTGCTCATCACTGTTGTTCCATTAAAAGGAATGTAAAAATATTTTGAAAAATAGCTCAGACCTAGTCACCTTATATCATAAATCTAAAAAAATCTATTAATTTGTATTTATTACTCTAATGAATCCTGATATTTCTATGTCTACAATTCAGGAGGACTTGGGGATATCCAGGAAGCTGAAAAAGAATGCAAAACTTATTGGAGATACTTAAGGTAATTCACACTCACAAGGAGAAGGAATGTTCCTGAGTAATTAGTTTGTGAGCAGAAAAACTACAGCCAAAGAAATGAGGCACCATTCAATTAAATGTCAGTAATATTCTCCCAAGATGTATAAGCCATGGTATGTATAATGAGGGAATTAAATCATAAAAATGGGCATACACTTTGAGTTATGACATTCTGCCTCCAGTTTTCCTATCCATATGTACTAGCAAATACAAAACATTCATTATCTAACAATTGCTAAGATTGCAATAGAATTTGAAATAAAACTGAGTGCTCATGTTTCCAAGCCATGCTATAGAGAATCAGCCATTCTGATTAAAATTCTAAGTAGGCTGGTGGAATGTTAAGTGCATTCATTCTGAATATCAGTATGCAGTTATCTCTAGAATCTCACACTTGTCCTGGATATATTTTTAAAAACTCAAAATCCACATAAAGTACAGATACATGCTTACTCATATACAAAGCAGATCAAGTTATAAGATATCAGGCCTTGAAGCAGCTTAGCAGTCTATAACTGGATTTGTGGAGAGGAAAATGTTAATAGACTCTGTGATTGTTCATTCTTGTAAACCCAGCACCCTAGGAATCAGATTTTGCAGAATGGCAAATTCAAGTTCAAACTTCACAGCTTAATAATCAGTGAAAATTTCTTAAAATAAATATAAAAGCTAGAGATTTTATGCTAATACCTGTTGTTCATTCCCAGCATGGAAAATAAAAACGTGTTATATAATGTCAAAAAATAAATAATATAATGTCATTTGCGATAAGATATGCATGAATCTTTCTCCCATCAATTCAGTGAAATATCTCAGATATAAATCCTAAAAGGTCACAGGGTTTCTTTTAGATGAGAAACAAAAATATTAATTGTGGAATGAAATGAAAGAGGGTTGATAGAGAAAGGTAACAATGACTGGTTGGCAAAGGGAATTACAGGTTAAGGACAGAAGGGAGACTATGATTGAGAAATGTATCAGAATGATTTGTCTGTGATACACATATATACCCATGCCCAAAGTGAAGCTAAATATTCTGCATTTCAAAAGGTACCAACTTTTAAGATTTCCAAATGTGTACTAGTGTTTTGGGAATGGTTGTTTTCAACATATCTTACAAGGTCATTCTGTTGCTTCATTGTCAGAACTTCTTAACAGGCATTAAAAGCAGAACTTGATGTTAATGGAGTCATTAACACAGAGACCCATTTCATTGTGATTTTTTAAAAATTTTATATAAGGAAAGACTAAACAAACAAAATGAGTAGAAATAATGCTAGTTTCAAAGTGAAAATAAATGGCAAGAAATAACTAGTAGATGATTTCATATGGTGCTCATAGAAATAGTTAATCAAGATACAAAAGTGAAACATATGAAGTGGGGATTCAAACAGCAAGACTGCAAAAAGTTTTGTTCAACTCTCCAACAAAAACTTAGTAATATGATTATCGATCCTATAGGTGATTTTTTTCTTTACAGAAATGACAAGCTAGGGAAATCCTATGGACATACATCTTGCAATCAGTGTAAAAAAGTATTCCTTTGTACTGCAGAAGGTAATTTGAATGTTAAAGAAACAGAAACACACCACAATGTTGATATTTATAAAAAATATTGCAGTGGAGGGAAACCCTATGTATGCAAGCAATGTGGGAAAGGTTTTACCACACATGGAATTTGTAAGAAACATGAAAGAATTCACAGAGGAGAGAGACCCTACATATGTAAGGAGTGTGGGAAAGCTTGTACAACATGTACATATTGTTAAGTACATGAGTGTCTTCACTCTGGAGAAAAACGTTATACATTCAAGCACTGTGAGAAAGCTTTCAGCACACGTACTTATTGTGTAATCCATGAAAAACTTCACATTAGGCAGAAATTGTATATATTTAAGAAATGTGGGAAAGCTTTTAGCAGTAACATTCATTGTGAAGTACATGATAGAATTCACACTGGAGAGAAACCCTGCGTATGTAAGGACTGTGGGAAATGTTTTACCACACATGGAGGGTATAAACAACATGAAAGAACTCACACAGGATTTAAAAGCTGTAGTAGTTTTATTGGTATGTTTAGTGTGATTATATTTAGTACTGGTCTGTCTACTCACATTAGATTTGAGGGCACAGACATATAATCCAAAAATATCAGGTTATACCATGGTAACTATCCTTAATTTCCTATTAACTTAAACTGAAACCCTATATTACTTACATTGTCTTACTATGGCTGATTTATTCACATTTGGTATGCTTGCTGGTATCAAATCAAAGAGTAGAGGCAACTACTCTGAAGATGACAAGATGTAAAAGATATGCATTGGGGGGCTAGGGATTTAGATCAGTGGCTTAAGCACCTGCCTGGCAAGTGTGAGATTGTGAGTTTGATCCCCAGTACCAAAATAAATAAATAAATTAATAAATAAATAAAAGATATCCATTCCAGGTTTTATTATTAACTGCTTTCACATCCTACAATGTCTTCAAAGTTGTTTTTATAAAAATAGCTATGCAATGTTATGCTTAACTATATAATGCTTGATAGTGTGGACAATTCTATTGATAACAACAAGAGAAAGCATAGTACATACTGTATATCACCTAATATTTTGGTGTTATATGTCTTTTTCATATCATGATTTTATACAAATTTGTTTTGTTGTCTTGTTTTGATCTGTTTTTCCCAATAATACAGAAAGGATTGATATACACATAGAGAGTCATACCTGGGAAGAATTTCTAACCTATTTATGGGAACAAATTATATAATACACGATGTAATTAACAGATACTCTGAAGAAGAGACACTAAGAAACCCAATGCTAATTCTGTAGCATTGTGATATAAAATTGAGCAATACTATTAATTAGTCTAGTCACATATTTTTTGGTGAATTGTAATTTTAACACTGCATTTGCTTTAATCTTTTGTTGCACAGTATACATTCATTTTCTCTTTCATAAATCATGTTTCTGAACTGGATGCAATATTTGGCATTAAGATATACATCTAAAAGGCTCGGAGCATGTGGTTTTGACAAAGTTGTGTTCTTTTCACATAACTTGCACATTAATGAATGTTATGTTTTCCATGTTGTGAGGAGACAAGATATCTGCTGATTCCCTGACATCACTGGACATCATACAATATACATTATGTTGACTGATTTTCTTTCTCAGTGGTGCCAATATTCATCATTTAACTAAACTGTTGTTTATCTAACCATCAGAATTTTACTTGTTATATTTATATTGCATCTTTACTTTGCTAGTAATGTTTCCCCATATGTACCAAAGTAAACCATACTACTGTGAATTTCTGATTGCCCCGTACTGACAGAATCATAACTTGTCTCCAATGGCACATCACAAAATATATTAATATCTCCAGAAATTATAAAATTTGGCATGATTTATGAGTAACCATAGTTTGAAATCAATTTTTCTTAAATGTGGAGTTGTTTTGGGGGAAAATGTTGCTATTGGGTATATCATGCAAATGCCTTTTATTCCTTGTTGCTGTGAATGCATTATATATTTTGTAATTATTAAAGCTTTTTCCTAAAACACTGAAGTAATGGCACAAAGGGAAACCTAAATTTTGAGCTGTCAACACAGTAAAAAATTAAATTTGCTAAATTAAGATTCAGATTGTTTTACTGTTTTACTGAATTGTGAATTTATACAATGATATACCTCTTTATTTATAAGGACCAGTGCCTGATGTTTGTGGTGTGTGCCGATTATCTCTAAACACATACACTGGGCCATGAGTCCCAGTTGGTTTCCTGTGGCCTGGGATTTTCACTTCCGTTTTAACATTCATGTAATTTGTAAAGTGTTTAATGCAGTGTTGTTGAATTCAAAATCTGATTAGATTCCAATGGAATTATGTTTTTAACAAATGTGGTGTCATGAAAACACAAGTGAGCATTTCATGAAATACCCCTAATCCAGTGAAGATAGCCTGCCCAAGTCTCAATTATCCTTGGAAGAATACATTACTCACCTGTTGTGTAATCACCACTAAAACTATATCTATTTTGTACCTGAAGTACCTGACATACTTCATAAAGTAAAAGACACTGTAAAGTACATTGTCAGCCTGTATGTACTACAGCATGTGGACAGATTCCCTGAAGCACATTTCTGCTTACCGTCAATGGGAAAATTTGGAGTTGGTATTACAGCTAATAATAGAAGACTGAATCTATAATACATATATCCTGAGTACATGCACTTTCTCATTTCATCATGAAAGTAAATCCTGCTGGTCTTGTTGATGCATGCTTGTAATCCTACTACCTAACGGAGCTTAAATTAGTGGAAGAGGAATTTGAGTCTAACCTACACAATTAGTGTGACCCTGTCTCAAAATATATCATCAAGTTCTGCAGATGTAGCTTAATGCTTTAGATCTCTTCCCTTTCCTCCCCAGCATCAACATTTGTTAATAGTCACAATTACACATCAATAGTTGTCCTTTATCACTTGGCCACCTAGCAGTTATCCCCAAGAATCACTTGGGAAGCCCATTTGTTTATGCAGTGACCATCCTGAGCATCATTGGGGCAGTTGTCAATTTAACCCATTCATTCTTGTATTGAGTATAGTAGAACTGTCACTTTTATATTCCTTGTTATTTTATAAAAACTAAGAAATGTAGGGAGCCGAGTGACAGGCATTGCTGCCTAGATGTCTCTCTCTCTCCTATGGGCACTGCGTCTGCCTACATTAACCATAATCCTCTTCTGCTTACGTCACTTATCCGGATGTGATGGTAACCCTGTTGTATTCATCTGTTTAACCTCTTCCTGTCCCAGCTCCCGCCCTTAGCCTATAAAAGGTGTGATTATTTTCTCAATTAAACCGGAGGCTTGATTGGGTTAACATCAACTTGCCTTCGTCTCTTTTTGTCTCCCCTATGTCTTTTATTTAATCCCCGTTTCTCCTCCAGGAGTTCCGAACTTGTTGATCTGCAGGCCGGATCAAGTGGCGCTCAGCGTGGGAGCCCCTGGCACGGAGAAGTTAACGAGGGAGCCGTTCGAGAGACAGCCGGCTTAAACCGAAAGTGAAAGCAAATTGAACCAGAGACCTCGGCAGAGGAATGAGTAAACTGAATCAAGGATTAAAGTTTAAAGCAACAGGACATTAAATCAAGTGCCGAGACCTGCGCAGACGACTACCCGACGTCCTGCCCGAGTCACGGTGAGTGAACGGCAACCCCATTTCCCTTTCCCGACATGGGTCAAGTATTGAGCGAACATGAACTGTTCGTCGGAGGCCTTATAAAGGCATTAAAGACAAGAGAGATAAGGGTTGAAAAACAAGAATTATTACAGTATTTTCAGTTTATTCATAAGGTTTGCCCTTGGTTCCCCCTAGAGGGTTCTATAGATACCAAGAGGTGGAATACAGTAAGAGATGTTTTAAAAGATTATTATAGAGTTTTCGGTCCAGAAAAGGTTCCTGTGACCACCTTTACATATTGGAATTTAATTTCTGAGCTGCTTGCCCAGAAGCATGCAGACCCTCAGGTTGAGGAGACAGTTGCACTAGGTGAGGCTGCCTTGCGCGACTTCCTTAAATCTACCTCAAAACCGTTCTCAGAAAAATCTGAAGCCACTAATTTCTCAGATGCAGAGAATGATGGCCTGTTAGAGGTCCTCATACATGGTGATCTGCCACCACTTCCACCTGTTGACACGATCAGCAGGTCCCAGGATGGCAGCCCGCCACTCCCTGTGCCTCCATGGCAAATTGGGGATTCATATAAGCCTTTAAAAACAACCTTAACTCTGAAAAGCTTGCAGCCGCAAGGCAGCTGGTACAGGACCAGTTAGATGCAGGCCACATTGTTCCTAGTAATTCCCCTTGGAACACACCTATCTTTGTTATCCGGAAAAGGTCAGGAAAGTGGAGGCTGCTACAAGACCTTAGGGTGATAAATAAGACAATGGTCTTAATGGGGCCTCTACAGCCTGGCCTCCCCTCACTCAGTGCCATTCCTTTAGGATTTTTTAAAAATTGTCATAGATCTTAAAGATTGCTTTTTCTCTATTCCTTTACACTTCATGACTTCCAAAAACTATTGGGAGATATTAATTGGCTCATACCATTTTTAAAACTAACTAAACATGATTTACAACCCCTTTATGCACTGCTTCGGGGAGACATAGATCCAACTTCCCCCCGAGAGCTTACACCTGATGCCAGGAGAGCGCTCAGTAAAGTAGAAGAGGCTATTGCTCAACAAACTGTTTCCTTTATGGACTACAATGAGCCTTTACAGTTTCTCATTTTTAATACAAAGCTTTGCCCTACAGCAGTGTTCTGGCAACAAGCTCCCCTCATGTGGGTCCATTTACCAGTCTCTCCAAAAAGAACACTTTTGCCTTATTTCCAAGCTGTCTCAGACCTAATAATCCAGGGTAGAAAGCAGGGAAAATGTTACTTTGGCAAAGAACCAGACATTATCATTCAACCTTTTACAAAAGACCAAATAGATTGGTTACTTCAGAGTACTGAAGTGTGGCCTATTGCCTTAGCTTCCTATTCAGGGACTATTGACAATCATTACCCTCCAAATAAGCTAGTTGACTTTGCTAATCGTCACTCATTTATATTCCCTAAAGTCACAGCTTCACAACCCCTTCCGGGTGCCCTGGTTTTATTCACTGATGGCTCATCCTCTGGAAGAGCTGCTTATGTATCTCAAAACAATGTTTCTACCCTCCAGGCAGATACTTCCTCTGCACAATTAGCAGAGTTAGAAGCTATTCTTGCAGCTTTTGCTGCTTACTCTGACCAACCATTTAATTTGTATACTGACAGTGCTTACCTTGCTCAGTCTGTTCCATTATTGTTGCTACTATATGTCATGCTTCCCCAGCTGCAAATCTGTTCAAACAATTACAATGCTTCATATGGCTTCGCCGTCATAAGTTCTTTATCGGTCATCTGCGAGCTCATTCCAACCTCCCAGGGCCTCTTGCCCAAGGAAATCATTTGGCTGATGTTGCTGTACGAGCACAGGTTTTTATGGCTCAGGACTCCAAGGTGTCTGAGGCCCAACAAGCCCACCAGCTACATCACCTCAATGCTCACACCCTCCGCCTTCTCTACAAAATTACCCGTGAGCAAGCCAGACAAATTGTAAAAAATTGCCCATCTTGTGCTATCCACTCACCTGTTCAACACCTAGGAGTCAACCCTAGAGGTTTAATTCCTAATGCCTTATGGCAAATGGATGTTACCCATTTCAATGAGTTTGGCAATCTAAAATATGTACATGTCATCATTGACACTTATAGTGGCTTCATTTTTGCCACTCTCCAGACTGGAAATGCTGCTAAACACATTATAGCCCATATGCTGTCAGCCTTCTCAGTTCTGGGATGTCCTCAACAGCTTAAGACCGATAATGGCCCTGGCTATACCAGTACCTCCTTTGCTCAATTTTGTAAAAGCCTTAATATCCTCCACACTACAGGTATACCTTACAATCCTCAGGGACAAGGCATTGTTGAACGTGTGCATCGTTCTCTTAAATTCACCATTGATAAAATAAAAAGGGAGACATGGTACCCCACCCAGGGGTCCCCTAGAAATGTCCTTTCACATGCTCTTTTTATTTTAAATTTTCTGACCCTGGATGCTTCAGGCTGCTCCGCAGCATCTCGGTTTTGGCATACTCAGACTCAAACACGGTTTGCATCTGTTTTATGGAGAGACCCACTAACCAATGTGTGGAATGGCCCTGATCCAGTCCTTATCTGGGGACGAGGTTCAGTGTGTGTTTACTCTCAACAAGATAGAGAAGCTAGATGGCTACCTGAACGCCTCGTAAAGCAAGTAGACAGTTCTTCAAAGACCCCGTATAACGCCCAGGAATAATGTTATTTCCTGAGGCACAATCCCCTGTGTTCTCTTACAGGTGACACATCTCCTTGGAGCCTTATGCTGCTTAACCAGCCTTCTTGAGCCACACCACACCCATGGTGGATTTTGACCCCTGCCAAACAGACTGCAACTGCTGACAGCCATGCACAGAACCCCATGACTGCGGAAGAGGCTCTTCTCGGTCTGGAGGAACGCCAGCCAAATAGACTGCATCCAGTGTTATACAAGGCATGCTCCAAGACACAGGAGAATGACTTCATACAGAGACACCAACAAATGACTGTCAACCCCTTCTCCTTGATTTTGGGGGGGGGGAGTTTTTCCCTTACCTAGTCCCACTTTTGGGTCCCCTAGCTGACCTATTGTTTCTCATTTCTGTGAGTCTTGTATTTTTCAGAGGATTATGATGTTCATTAATAACCGGATAGACGCATTTATGGCAAAGCCCATTCAGGTACACTACCATCAGCTGGAGATGACAGATCAACAAACCTACAGGGAAGGAATTCCCACGAGTGGCCCATATGATGATGCGGCCTGACTGCCCTGGGGCAATGGACAGGCAGTCAGAGACGGGCAACTAGGACATGCATGTTAATTCCAACAGCCACCTAAGACAGGCACAGGACCAACTGCTGTTCTGCAAGCCCATGACGGGTAAGGCCTGGTTGGGTTCATGCAATGAGGTCCTTGACCTAAGACAGACGCTGTCCTCACAGGGCCTGCCATACTCTTAATTAAATAATATAAAAAGGGAGGAGATGTAGGGAGCCGAGTGACAGGCATTGCTGCCTAGATGTCTCTCTCTCTCTCTCCTATGGGCACTACGTCTGCCTACATTAACCATAATCCTCTTCTGCTTACGTCACTTATCCGGATGTGATGGTAACCCTGTTGTATTCATCTGTTTAACCTCTTCCTGTCCCAGCTCCCGCCCTTAGCCTATAAAAGGTGTGATTATTTTCTCAATAAACCGGAGGCTTGATTGGGTTAACATCAACTTGCCTTCGTCTCTTTTTGTCTCCCCTATGTCTTTTATTTAATCCCCGTTTCTCCTCCAGGAGTTCCGAACTTGTTGATCTGCAGGCTGGATCAAAGAAAAAGTATGCAATTTTTGATAATTTTGTATTTAAATAATTGCATTTGTAAGGAGTTACCTATAAAGATTGGCTAATGGTGATTTCTTTAGTCCCAGCCTCAAGAGAGAATGAGATGGGATGATCATGGCTTTGAAGCTGACTTTGGGTGGCAACTGCTAGATGATTTAGCAGAGTGTGAAGCAGTTGTTTTTATCCCTGCATTTGAAGTTTAATGAAACAAGTAAGTTGAGGTCAAGAATAAAAATGTATGATAGAACAAAAGAATCACTACTGCAAATTGTGAGTTTTCTTTCACTCAGGAAATGTACTTTTTATTATAATTTGTGCAGCACTTTCAAATATGCCTCTATTAGAGTAATACATAGTGAAACATGAAAGAGCCAGACATTCCATGTTCTGAATGTAGAGGTAGTAAAACATTTTTTCTTAATGCTATTGCTGCTGTTTTGTGTAGAAAATAAGACAGGGTAACAAAACAAGCAAAAAGGACTTTGTCAGACTTTCATCCTCCTGCATAAACATAGAAGCCACAAAAAAAGTCAAACAAGATGGTGAAATAAACTACAGAATGAGAGAAATTGTACCTGTTCCTCCCTGATAGCTAACATGTAAAACCCATAGGAACATGAAAGTAACACACATTTTTCAGCATATGTACAACTTGCTAAGAAATACCTGAAGAACTATTGAGCATTTTTGCACAATAGAGAAATTAAAATAGAGACATCATCTCATTGCAGAGGAAACAAATCACCACAAGATTTAAGGAAGGTACATGAGACTGCAGGAGTAAAGAATCTATTTAACCTTGTTGGTGGTAATGTTGGTAAGTATTTCAACTACTACCGAAGTCAATTTTTAAAGTATTCAAAAGACTAAAATTAGTAATTCTCATTAGTGCAGTGCTTCCTTTAGTGGGTCTCTTCCTCAAAGAGTTAAGGACATATTGCAGTGATGCATGCAGATTCCTGTTACTGCAGCAATAGTCATTTTTCTGTGGAGAGCAGCAGCAAGCAGTGCTCCATCACCACCAAATATCAATGATAAACAATAAATACTCACCAGTGTACTCCATTTGGTAAACGGTGTGATATTTTATTGTGAAATGGGCTGTAAGTTAGGTTTTCCTATAGGTCAGTATAAACATGAAAGTCATGCTAATGTCACAAGGGAATCACTGGTACACTATTATGTTCATTAGATTTGATATATTTATCTTTTTTAGTAAGCATGGTGCTATGAAGTCCAGGCTGGCTTTGAGATCACTTTATAAACCAGAGTGGTCTCAACAAGTCTCCTTCCTCAGTGTCTTAAGTAATGGGCTCAATGCACTAGCCATCAGGCCTAGTTTAGATTTGGTATATTTGGTGTATTCAGTATATTTTACTTCAACTGCTTTTGTTGTTAAAGTATTTCCACTATTTTACATCCAGCATCAGGAGAACCCTCAGTCTTGTTGAGGTGGTGATGTGCATACCACCAGCCTCGTGACATTCTCTCCTGGGTTCAGTGCTGTCAGGGTACTGTAGTGAAACATAGGTGTACATAACTGCTTCTTTTTGTAAATTCCTTAGAAAAGATTTTTAAAATTTCCATGGATAATCAGAGGGTCAATTTCCCTGACTATAGTTTCATTCAAATGCCCATGGTTATGTAGTGTGTAGGACACACAGAAACATATAACATAGTTCCAGTGAGGGGTTTATCAAAACAGATGTGAAGATTATTTTGTGAAGGTTTGTGTTCCTGATTATTTCATTTGAATGAGCCTCAGGTTTTCTCACTGTTGTTTATGTGAAGCAGACCAGATGACCACTTTAATATATGAAGTGATATAAAGCCTGTTTGGATTTTAAGTATCTAAAGAACTGCTCTGGTGCTGTGGCCTGCTTAGTAATGGTCAACTTGGATTACCCAGTGAATGAAGTCATCATGGTTTTGGGACAGAACATGCATTGATGGATTGTTTAAAACAGCATTAAAGGAGAACTAGAGGGAAAGGAGCTGGGATGTTGATTCTCATGGAGAAGCTGGTAGCACTGGTTTTCCAGATATGATCTCAGCCATCATCATCATCATCAAAGAAGCTCAGGTCCTCATTATTGCTGTGCATGGCTACTGTTCTCTTTTGAAGATCTCTGGCTCTTATCTTGAGATTCATGCCTTGACTCCAGTAATGATCACTCAACTTTGTGGCACAGATTCTATGACCAAAGGAACAGAGATTCTAGCTTCTAACACTGAATTTTGAGCCTTCCTGGGTACTATCTTAACAGAGACTTTCATGACACATTGTAAGTGCCTCTAAGTCTCCAGGTAAACTTTTGATTGTCCTGGCCATGGCCTCAAATTCTTCAGCTGTACTTGTGTTGGATATTGTCATAGCATTCAAGTACTCAGTTGTATTTTTTGGTATCTAGTATCTGAAAAGCTGTACATCTCTCTAAATCTGACATTCTGGGATAAATATGTTTAAATTATCTTATCAATTATAAGTTCCATGTTAAGTGTCTTTCCTCACAAACCCTGACTATAACAGATGGGAAAGGATAAGATGTGACATATTTGAGACAGGAGAAATTTCTTTAGTTACCTAAAGTTATATGCCATTTTTCTCTTGGAAAGAAACCCAGATATATCAATAGATTGATTTTTAGGACTGTTGATAGCTTCTCCAATACTATCAAGCCATTACATTTTGTGTTGCATGGGCAAGAAGTAGGTGTGTTAGGAACCTACATGGTGCTGCAAGTCACCTGAACATAAGCCTTTGCAACCTATGCTGTCTGGCCTCTGTGTACGTAAATTGTCACTAAAGGATGCACTCACAGAGGCAGTAATTTTTCATTGGCAAATAATTTGCAAGTCTCTCAAGTCTTTTACTGGTGTTCTGATGTGAAGAAAAATGTAGAATGCACAACCTGAGTTCCAAGAAATAATTGTGATACCAATATATACCTATCTGAACACAATTAACATACAAAAATCAAATCCAGACTACAAAAATGCTTTGAAAGACATTTCTATGAAGCCTGACACTACTTTGGAAATCCCTGCTAAGTTTTATAAGGTCCCTACTACTTTTCATGATCCCCTACCTCCTGAGATAGCTGGCCTAGTTCTTTCCTGTTAACATGCATCAAAAATAGCCACTTTTGTGATTCCAAATGTCATTGTTGCTGCTTATTCAGGCATATTGTTGATTCAAGTGTGATCTCTCTTACCCATTCAACTAAATGTTTCTGAATCTGTAGCTAAACTAACTGTCTTGTCTTATGTCTACTCTAAAGCTTGTCATGTTATTTGTGGAAATCAATGATTTGACTGCAATTTGTTGTCTCCTGCTATTCCCATAGGAGATGCATGCCGAAGCCTCTCCTAAACTGTTGACAACCTTTCCTTTTCATGTTTGCTACTGGAGCTGGTGTTTCTCTTTTACTTCACTAAGTTGGTGATATTTTATTTCCATGGGCAATGCTATTCCCTCTCATCTCTTGAGATTTACTGGAACACCTATAGTCCTTAGAATTGATTTAATCACTACTATCTTGGCACTTACCAAGGCTTACTTTTCCTTTTTGCTGTCCTCTGCTGTTCCCTCTGCAAACACAGGCCTGTAGAATTAGCTCAGTGGCATGAATGCCTGTCTTGCAAATGCACAGTCATGATTTTGATCCAATGCTCTTTGAATCCCCACTTTTTAAGAAAAATTTATTTAAAAGGAAAAAGAGAAAAAAACAAAAAAAGTGGTGTAAGGGTACGAGTAATACAGACAAAAAAAAAAAAACAGTAAGAAATCACCAGTTAATAGATTACACATTATCATCTTAGAGATAGTTGCTCAAGTCACAGTATCAAAGCATACAAAGTGGACATTCAACAGTGAGACTGTAAACAGTTGTCTTCAATGATCCAACCAAAAACATTAATATGGTCATCTATTTAACACACCTAAACACACTTGCAGTTGTATCCCTCAGAGCACTTTTTCCCCTCTCTTTTTTACAACACAATTTACACATTTTGGATTTTATTACTCCTTGGTGCTTATTACTTTTTTGGAAGAGAATAAAGTCAAATATTACAAAACAAATCTGTCAGTCAAAACCAAGGATAGACATAGCACATGATGTAAAAACAGAGTACAAGGTTATCAACAATTGTTACCATAATTCCTCTTGCTTCCTTAAAAAGAATAGTCTACCTCATTAGGTATTATAAAGTTGAACTAAGCAGTAGAGAATAAGACCAATAAAACCTAAACATTGTAAACATTACAGGACTTCCAAAGGAGATAATAGTCAAATGAGAATGGGCATCTTAGTGAATCTTATTGCCTTATAAATAGTTGCCTATACCCTTAAACTTGATACTATCATACAGAATGGAAAAGAGTCTAATCAGTCAAAACAAGATAGTGGGAGTATTACGTGACTTCAAATCAAGTTAATAGGAAATCAAAAATGTTACTATAATATATATTGCTAATTTCTTTTATTTTTTCCCCTTAATTAAAAAATCATAAAAAATAACTAAATATTTTTTAATGAATAAGGGAGAGATTGAGATAAAAGAGGACATAACTACATAACAATACAGGTCAAAGCATGACAATTTCAGCAACCTAGTGCTTCAGCACAAATAACCCGACTTAATAGTAGTTACCATAGTGTCTGTCTTTTTCCTTGAAATATTTGAATATAATTTCATATACTATACCTTCAAATATTTCCATATCAAGCATCCCAGAATAAAGCCATTTCAATTAATAAGTGAAAACTTTGTAAGGCTTCAAGGCCACATAATGGGGAATCATGTGAATCCCCACTTTGTATAATCCACTCTTGTATCTTGAACACTTATTTGTAAGAAGACAATATGTAAACAACCAGTGATTTCT